TTTTTTTTACGCAAAATCACATTGATATATTCTCCATCCTTTTCCTCGTAGCTTTCTTCACTTTCATTCATTCGTTTCATTCTAGTTTTACAATTAACAATTTGCTCGAACTTTCGCGCTGTTTCCCGTTCTCAAGAAATAAAAGACAGAGGCGTGAATGATCATTATTTATGGCCAACAGACATTTAGTAACACGCGTACAGCGTGTTTCTTTGAAAGTAAAACTATCACGATAGTACAATATCAGTTACCGGTATCCATTATAAATTTTACAGTCATCCAGTGACTCTCGAGCCGTCCCAACGGGAGGAAGATCCTTGGATGCAGGTCGATGTCATTCTCATGGCGACTCTGTTAGGATTGCTGGGAACACTGCTAACGCTGATATGTTACACGATCTTGCAAAGAATCAGAGAACATTTTCGCACAGTTAAATACAAGTACGGCTATTGCTCGACCCTCGCCTTATTTTACACATTTCATTCGGTTCCACTTTTATCTTGCAATCACTCGCGCGTGATTCGTAGGAAATTAAAGCAGCGGGAAAGCGAAGACGAAAGGGAGAAAATGAATGGGAGAAGAATAAAGAACAGGTACACCACCGAAACGAGCAGCGAAGCCACCGATTACGTACACTTAGACAGCGATAACGACGCGGATGCTGATTAAAAAGTCGTTGATTGGCGCTTGTCAGGAAGCGGTGCGCTCCATGCCTTCGGATATTTTTAAAAATAGAATATCGATCGTTTTGTTCCAAGCGGCTTCCACCTCGGTGGAAAATTTCGATTTCAACGTGTCCTTCATTACTTCTATCATCACTCCTTTCAAGTCCTGAAAGGTAACATAACAACGGTGTGCAAGCATGATCGATAGAAATAATATACAAACAGAAAACGTTTCGTTCGTAAGACGTAAGTTTCTTATATATTCCTTAAAGTTAAATGTCAATGTCAGAATTATTATTATCACTCTCGCGCTCTCGTTTTTTTGATTTTTAATATTTAGTTCGATATTTTAATAAATTCTGCAATCAACGTCGAAATATTCAGATAAGAAACAAAATTACGCGCATCGTAGTTTTCCTTGAAGCTCAAGCATGTATGTAGATATTAATATATCAATGTACGTGTTAATGTGAACAAAGAACCGGTGATGTTGCATCGTTAACATCAAACGATCAATACCGAATCATTTGCATTTGAAAATTGCGTTCAATTGCGTTTTAAGATTAATGCGTCTTGCGTCTCAAGTTCTGGAAATCGAGGACTTCCGGTCGTTAGCCTTGACCTTGTAGAAGAACGTTCCGTCAGCGTCGTTTCTTTTCAATTTCAATGGCTTTAAAGTGGCGGTCTTAACGAACTATACCGTGGTTCGTCGAGTCTGATACTTTCGTGTTTGTTACAGTCTGCCGATTTAGTAATAGATAATAGAAAGGGGAAGAACACACATTTGAGAGAAATTATTATATATCAAATCATTATATCAACATCACTGCTTATTATATAAAAAAAAAAAAAAAAAAAAAAAAAAAACAGAGAGAAACTATTGGAATTAAACGAGAAAGGAAGATAAACTTTAATTATGGTGGGTTCCGTTATCTCTGTTGACGATTCATACTTCAATCGTCATACGTACAACGTTGATAACGCATTACGACACTGAGTGATAAAATTAAACGGGGATTTTTGAAACTAATCTAATCGAAACCTGATGTGGATAGTGATAAAATTGCGCGAGGAATGTTTTCGCTACGCGAAACGAGAATATACTTAGAAATAAGTATTGAGATGTGCACGTATGGTCGAGAAAGATGCACCCGTCTGTAATGTCTAATAAGCAATGTTCAATCAGAGGTTTGTTAAAAGCTTCAGTTGTAAATTAAGAAAAAAAAGAGAGTATAAAACGCGTCTTTCATCTAAACCTTCGCATAAAGATAATCATTGAGCAAATGATTATACGTATTATTATTATTGCGTATAGAAAGTTTAATCATCAGAGCATATAGTGGCAGAAGAAAAAAAGAAAAAAAAAGAAAGGAACTTACGATAAATTCCTGTGTACCTTGTCCTCGTCGGCCGTGTCTCTCGCCGGTGGAATGCAATATCGCGTCCATCAAGTCAGCATCGTCCAAAGCATCGATCGAATTGCTCAATGTGCTCATGATATTTTGACAGTGAGCTTGAAACTTTTTGTTGTCCGCTAGCTCGTCTACAGGCAGGTGCTTGAACGCGGGGAACACTTGGTGATATTGCGGATATCTTCTGAAATAGCTGAAACAAAATAACCTCGTACGCATGAACATTGGAGAGTTAAAATTTCGTCGCGATATTTGAATACGCGCGAACACTTAATCTTTAATCTTTAAATCTTTATTAATAATTGATCGTTCATCCTATAGCTTTGACGCAGTGATTCAACTGTCAATTAGTATCGGTAGATATGTCTCACCTTGCCATAATAGCTACGCCGGCTTTGACCGACTGTACGCGCACTATATTCCACGTTTCTCTCACAAGCCTCTTTTCTCTTTTGGTCAGTCCAACCTTCGAATCTAAGGTATCGCTGTCCGAATAGTAGCCGAAAAAGTAGCTTAGAACAGAACCCATCTTAGTATTTTCTTTGATGTCGTTTACGATCTGTTCATTAACATGTACTCATTGCATTGTATCGTCGATCATTGCGATATCGTTGGCTTATTATGACGGTCACACGCTGCGCATTCAGAATTTTATATTCGTACGTGTTTCGCACTTCAAACGCCAGATGAGCACACATACGCGCGCATCGATTAGAATATTGACGTTAATAGACATAAATTGCCGTTTCGTGTTCCTTTTATCTTTAATTATGCAGATAGGGTATTGAATATGTTGGAACAACCGTTTGTTTCCACTAGCGATTGGAACGGCTGCTTTCGAACGACTGACTGTTCTTTGGGTACTGCCTCATTCCAGTGGGCTGGCCGACTGATGACAGTCGTAAAACGTAAAAATAGTAGGAACCGACTCTCGTTTTCTCACGTAGGACATCACATTGTGTACATTGTATATATAAGTTTGAAATCAAGGTAAGCATCAAGAGTCGCTTTATTCCTTCTTTTTTCTTTTTTTTTCTTTTTTTTTTTCTTCTTTTAATTTTCAAACGATGATTCATGCAACGCGAAGATCTCTATGCCGCGAATGCACGTTTTGATCTTTTTCTCTTTAAACCTTGGAAAGAATGGAACTCTATCCACAAACGTGAATACATTAATAATGAAAGATTTTGAAGCAAACATTTTAAAGTTTAATAAAAGATTGATATTGATAGAAATTTATGATGGTGTTTAAGTAAATGACACAGTTTGGCTGGGAATGTATAATTATATAGGAATGTAAGAATATAATCTCAGAAACCACACTAACATGGGATTATAATTTCCCGACACGTAACTCTCGAATTATTCCGAGCTTTTCCAATGATTGACGACAATCTATTCTACTCGTGGAAAATGGCAAAGGGGTAGATAGTTTTGATTGCCACCACGGTGAAAAAAAGAAAAAATGGTAATTTCAACGAACGATTCTTACTTCTTACTCCGGTGATTTCGTTCAAGATAAAAAACGCACAATATCGAAGGAGAGAATATTACTTATCCGAGAATTATATCTGATAGAGATAATGTTAGATTATTAATATAAAAAAACGACGTAACATATAAAATGTCGCCTGATACAAGCGATGACACAGTGGAACGCTGCACACTATAATAAATATTATACCCAGGCAAAAGGGAAAAAATAATTGATAATTTTATTATCGACTATGGCTATCGTATATATTCTAGACAATGATGTAAACGACGTAAAGGAGGAAAGCGACTGATACGACGTTGGTATATCGCTCTACACGACGTTCATTGTTGTTTCTTTCGTGGAGAAGTGTCTTTATCCAATTTTTGATTAATATAAATGTTTATAAAATGGCTAGAGCTTCTAGCACGCTTGAGATCTATACAGAAAACGATAGAGTCGCGATCGTTGGTGAGTGTAGTAGAACAAAGTTGAAAATTGATAACAAAAGGTGAGCGAGTTATTTATTCGTTTTACACAAACATTTCGAAATGATTTTCAATAGTGTGTCTGCCTTGCTTGAACAGTGCTTTCGTTCTTTCGTCCAAAAAACACAGCTTTTGTTAAAAAAACACAATATACAAGTATGTTTAATTTTCGATTGCAATCCTCCCTGGCTGAAAAATGTGAAACTCGCGCAGAATTTCCATCGTTGCACCTTTCGTCCGCCGCAAATGTAAGTGTGAACAGTGTTCTATAGAACTCTAGATGATACTTGACCCCTCTACTTATCCTGGAATTCAGTACTTTTTATTCCACGTGAAAAGAATAAAAAAAAAAAAAAAAAAAAAAAAAAAAAAAAAGGAAGAAACGCGTCTCGCAGTATTGCCGTACATTGAGCATTATTGCACAACTTGTATTTCATTTATCTTACTCGCGATCGGGGCCTGTCACTCGTGATCGCCTGGTAATTGAATTCGGTTAATTGAGATTTTCGCTCTGATATTTATCCAAAAGTACGATTCAATCCGACGGTATCGAACGATAAAGCTTGTTCAATCAGACGAGTAGTTTAAATGGAAATCGTTAATGATATAAAAGATTGTATTTGACGTGCATATCGCTCATAAATATTTGAGAATCAATCGAGTTCACAAAAAGTGTGGACATCGTACAACGAGGAATACAACATTTTGTACGTTCGAAATTGTCATGCGTTTTTTCAAAAATTGGAGTATTCGAGATTTTCATCCTGCCAAGTGGGAGTTTAATACGAGAAATTTCCGGACTTGGTAAGTTTACAGAAAATCTATCGAGGGAGCAAATAGTAAAGTAAAACGAATCCGGAGGGCGTGAAAGTGGGATAAAATATTTATGCACTTTGATTTGACAAACTGACGTGCAACTTTAATCAACATACGGTACATAATATCGAAAATAATAAAATAATATAAAACGTTTCATATATATAAGATGCGTTATATGATAACCTAATGTTAGTATGCGCGGAAGTCTAATAAATTTGAAATCATATGTAAGCTGTTCACGGATTTTGCTAGCGTTTCTCTCATAAGTATGAAAAAAAAAAGTGGAGAAGGTAGCATAGTGGCAATATAATGCTATATATATTCTTATATCGTGTGATTACAACGATATAATGTACATATCACACACTGATTTTTTTAGTGTCATATAAGGTCAAAAGTGAAAAGAAAATTTTTAATATTTCGTACCATTTTATTTATTAGAATATTCCTAAAGAACGTATACGTAAAGGACGTATTCATAAAATATTCAAACCTTTTCTCTTAATTTCGACCTTGCATTTTATTGCATTTTATATGATTGAATTCGTCTTTTATATAAAATAAAAAAAAAATATGTAGCATTCTATTTGAAAAATTGAATTCTAAAAAAAAAAAAACAACTTCATGCACCACTGTGTTGCTTACAAAAAAAACAATATTTCTTTTTCCCTTATTTTCGGTTTGAAAAAAGTTGGCTAATAAATCTGCGAACATCCTGTATAAACGTACTTATATATTTCTGTTCGATGTCTCACGAGTAACCTTTGAGTTTTCTTTCATTTATCATCGAGCGTATCTCTAACATACGTCATGTAATAATCGTAGCTGTGCGAGCTGTCTGTGTAAAATAGTGCATTTTATATACAACATTCAAATCTTAACAACTAAGGGGGCGAGAAGATTCATTTTTCTTCGAATTTCAATCGTTTCGTTCTTCAAGATGCGAAAACCTGATATATCTTGGTGAACAGACCGTCCAAGGTTTTACTCCACGCCTCGGCCACTTCCGGCGTGTACTGCTTCCCTAACGCTTGACGAAGAACTTCCAGCATTACTTCCTTCAAATTCTAAAAGTCAGAATCAAACGTACGATAAGTCGTCTTTGCCGATTCGTCATTGATCCGTTTCGGATAATTTCATTGATCGTTACGGATCGAATTTGCTATTTCTGAAAAAGATTCTTCTTTTTTCGACAAGTGATAAGTCACGTGAGGATTTTCAAGGATAACTTTTTTTTTGTCATTTGGAAAAACATCATTTCCTTCTGTCTCGGCGAATGTTTTCGATCGCATTAAAAACCAATAAACAGATGCTTTCGCTTCTAAAGAAACTAGCCGAACAAGGCTTCGTTCCACCTTCGTTCAGGTTTTTTACCGTTAGTTGCCTACCTGAAATTCTTCTTTCGTTTGGCCACGATTTTTATGCCTCTCGGCCAGACTGATTAGGCTCGCCTCCATCAACGCTGGGTCATGCAGGGAATCGATAACATTATTTAAAGCTGTAATTACGCTGGCACAATGAGCTTGAAATCGTTTATTAGCCGGCAGTTCGTTCAATGGAGTGTCCTTGAAAGCTGGGAAGTATCGTTGATACTCGGGATATTTTTTAAAGAATCTGCAAAAGAATTTCGTTGAATCGAGTCTCAGTGAACTGAATCAAACGTGTAATGTAATTTCAATTTATAAACGTGAACGTAAAATTTTATAATTGCTACACGAAGAAGTATTTTATTACGAAGTATAATAGTTGAAAAGGGGAATAATCTGATATAAATTTGAGCATGGGACATTGTAAGAAACGAATAATATTGATTTTAATTGAAATGTTAATATTGAAATTTAAACGAACAATAATTGCATTAGTATCACTAATGTTATCAATTTCTTTTCAATATTTAAGTTAGTGACAAAGACACAATCTCTAGTCTCAAAGTGCAGAAATAATTTTGATATGAAGTTAGTTGCTGATACGTTGAATGTTCTGTCAAACACGAAAGATGTGATTTATGTCAGGTTTTTTACTTTAATCGTAATCTTTAGAAAGAAAAATTGTTCGTCGGAGTCGTCTATTGTCTGAACAAACAATTTACGGCTGCTAATGGTCATAATACATTAACATAGTCATTTAACACGTTGTGGCAATTAACATTGAACTGCGCATCAGTTTTTGTTTGTGGTATATAAAGTATTGAAAGTTTTATGCTGGCATTTCGTCAAACGTAAAGAAGAGAAATCAAAGAGACAAGAGAAATAATCATAAAATAATGTATAGTATTATAACTAAATTAAGAGGAATTTACTTTATTTACCTAAATTTATTTTAAACTTTACTAAACGTTCAAAAAACGTTTATTCAACTCCAAAAAGGAATAGAATCGTAAGAAGAATTCATGACAAAAAAAAAAAAAAAACAAAAGAAAAACGAGAAATAACATGAAATACAGTAGTGCAGACAAATTATCTCTCGAGTTCTACATTATCAATTAAGATAAACACCATATAGCAACGATATTACGAAAGTTATCAATCGTGCACGTCCATAACAAGTTGTACGACATTAAAAAAACAAAACAAACACAGAAACATATCTTTATGTAACTTGCGTAGATAACCATAAATAGTACAGTTGCGCGTGGAAAAACACTGCTGCCCTGATGCAAATGTTCTTCAATGTCATATTTTAAAAATGATCCAATCGGTCTCTTCGATTTGAGGGAGAATACGTATCACTGAAAAAAAGAAAACGAGAAAAAGAAACTACAACTTACGTGGTCATCACAGCAATTCCGGAAGCCACCTCGTCCTTTCTGACAACGGCCCACGTGTTCTGCACCAATTTCTTCTGTCTCTCCGTCAACCCTGTAGCTTCATCGACTCGGTTGTCGTCGGACGACGAGATCCCGAGGAAACGGAGGAACGTTCCCATGTCCGGCGGTCGGGTATCGTTGCGAAAAAAAAGGAAAAAAAAAAGAAAAGAAAAGAAGAGAGAAGAAAAGAAAAAAAACGGCGGGACCTTTGGACAGAAAAGAAGACAAATGACTTTCAGTTTCACGAGCGCGGGAGAGACCGCTGCGCAAACGGCGAAGCGGTGTACGCGCGCGACTCGATGATACGAGCATTTCGTTACAAGGATCAATGAATGAGAAAAAAGGGAAAAAGGTGAGCCCGTGAAGCGAGGGTCTGCACGCTCGTTGAACAAATCGATTCGACGTCTGGATCACGTCATGATCGCCGGTCATCAGCGTGCAAACGGTCGATTCCGTGCCCAGCGCACAATTACCGTAATTCTGTGTGATATGTCACGTGCCACGTACTGCCGTTTCAATTCGCTCAATCGCTGACACGGTTGGACGACGACTACTCGTTCTTCGAGCCCGACTGACGGCACACTGCCTATCTAATGCTATTTTAAATCTACCCCCTCCGCTTGATCGCCAGCCGCTGCTGCTAATGCCATGCGGTTAAATGATTAAGGAATTAAGCCTCTTTACACGATCAGCAACCGACTGGCTAAGTCGGTAAACCGATTCGGCTGGTTAACGCTTTGGTCAGTGAACTCGGCCACTCGTACGTTCGGCCGAACGCCGATAGACACCGTTCGATCGGTTCGATCGGCTGCTGAAAAGTGGCGGTGAGCGACGACCGCCACCGATGACCGCTTCGTTAGCAGCCCCCTAAATTAATTTGCGATCGCGCGCCAGCCCCCGGTATCCGGTTGATTAATTCGTATCGAGTTATCTCGATACGGTGAAACTCGTTACTTTTAATCGATCAACCTTGCGCTACACCGTTGCCGCAGTCCATCGGTAACAGCATGCGCTATCTGTTTCCTTGCTTTCGTGCTTTTTGCATCCTTGCTCATCGTTTACGTGTTTGCTTCAGTGATTGCTTCAGTGGATGCTTCTCGTCGACATTCGTCTGACAAAACGTCGAGTCGTTTCAGTCATTTCTTTCTTCGAGAAAAAATCAGGTAACATGACGAGTTTAGTACGACTTGAATTAAATCGACTAGAAAAAAATCGAAGAAATGGTAAATGTGACAATTACGGAAGATATAAGTATAAATATTATACGTAGGACAAGTATTTCACACTGGAACAAATTATTAATTAAAAGTAGGGATTATGTACAAAATTCTTAACGACAAAAGTTCAAAGATTAGCAAAAGAAATTGAAGTAATGGTAAATGTGACAATTACGGAAGATACGTATAAGTATTATACGTAGGATAAGTATTTTACACTGGAACAAATTATTAATTAAAAGTAGGAACTATGTACAAAATTCTTCGCATAAGCAAAGAATTAACGTTCAAGAATTAACGATAAGAAAAAAAAAGTCGAAGAAATAGTGAGTGTAACAGTTACGAATGTAAAATGTGCATAAGTATTTTGCACTAGATTGTTAAATTGTTAATATAAAAGTAGAAGTTACAAAATCTTTCGCATATCAAAAAGAATTCAAAAATTCGTCGAAAATATCATTTTGCGACACAGAGGTAATTCAGTACCAATTTTAGAAACGAGTCAACAGCGTTTTAAACGACAATTTAAATAACGAAAACGAAACACATATAAAACGAGATGAAAAACGTCAAGATGAGCCGGAACGTTCGTGATCGATGTTCATGTAATCCTGACCATAATTTCTGCCACTGACGTCACTCCACGAACTACACTGGACAAACTTGACCGTCTAAAGCTCCCGTAGGATTTCCATGTAGGACGCAAACGGCTGTAAATTTCGATGAACGTCAGATAGTCAAGAGATAAAAAAGCGTTCCGTTAAATTGCGAAAACAAAACGATAGAATCACCGTTTGCATGTGTGTCTAATAAAAACGAGAATTTAACGATTTTCAAGATGTCGGGATCACTCTTGGCACTCATTGTTTCATTCCGATAGAACGTGATGCGTTTAATAACTATCTCTCTTGATGTGCACCTGTCAGGTGGCAAAAATGCAACATCGCTTTAATTGTTTCGCATGAGATTCACGTACTGTGTGGGAATGACACAAGTAATTGTCTCGAAATACGTTGCTTTAATTCGTTCAGTTTTATATCGATAACAATAAAGTCGAATCGGCTTTCGCAGAATAATAAAAAATTTTATTTTTCACGCAGTAAATTAAGTGAGAACAAAGCGATGGCTGACACAGGAGAATGCACCACGAAAGAGGAGAAGAGCAAAATTTATCTACAATTGTTATCAAGCATAATAAGTAAATATTGTTCATAAAACTCAATTTGTAAGATGAACGGAAAGATTTTCGTCGATTTTAAATAATAAAAGATACTTTTGATCTTACAAATTACCATCGACAAAAATGTTTTGCCCTTATTCACGTTGATATGGTAATAATGAATATTTAATTTTCACGAACGTCAAGTTCTGTATTATATATTATTTTTTTAGTCTCGAAAATGTGAAAATTACAAAACTTTGAAAGTGTTTAGCAAAAATAAGAATAAACGTGATGAAGAACTTACAAGATAAAATGGTACAAGTGACAGGGTCTTCGATTTGAGAAAACCGTGTGTTCCATAAAGATCTGGAAGTTCGAAAGGAATAGAAAAATCTTCTGCGCACATAGTTCTCTGTATTTATCCCATTTTTGTAGACGTAACCACGCACTTATACCATTTTCTCATTAAATCTCTCAGTTATTGTAATCCGAACGTAATTAAGAAATATAATGCGTTTCTTTTGTTTTTCATTTTGTTAAAGTTAATCTAACATTTTTCACGAGTGGAATATGTGTCAGCTGGCCAGCGTTTACTCTACCCAAGTTAAAACCAGGTTCTGACTTGGTCGTAAGCGACGACGACGGAGGTTGGATAGTTTCCGCGTTAGGTTTAGGCGGGATCGTCGGCCCTATTGCAGTCGGATTACTGCTCGATCACACCGGCAGAAAATGGTTCATTTATGCAACGAGCATTCCATTTATCGCCTGCTGGGTACTTACGTACTTCGCAAAATCTTGGGTGGAACTTTTCATTGCGAGATTCGCCTGTGGCATATCGATCGGTGCTTTATGCAGCATAGTCCCGGTGTATGTTGGAGAAATCACAGAGCCAAAGATCAGAGGAGCGAGCAGCGCAATGTTTTCCATCATGCTCAATCTCGGGTATATTTTCGGATACGGTGTAGGCCCGTTATTGGACAGAAAGGTAATTACGCCAAATTTTCAACTAGAACGTTATGAAATCAATCTATGAGTAATTGTAAATCTACAAATGCAAGAAGTAATACAGGATAAGAAAAAAAAAAAAAAACACAGCCATGTCACATTGATGATCACCTCGATCATCGATTAAAAAGTGAAAAAGATTCGATATGAAAACTTCAAATTCCAAGTGATAAATATGTCTTAAATATATCTATGATCGACGTATTTCACAATTGTTTCAGGTGTTCGCGCTGGTTAGTTTGGTACCGACAGCCGTGTTTCTACTAACTGCTCCATGGTTACCGGAATCGCCTTATCATTACCTGAAGAAGAAAAAAGAGAAGGACGCCGCGCTAACCTTGGTATGGCTAAGACGCAAGAAGAACAACGATGACGAGATAAAGCAGATCAAAGAGTTAATAGAAAGCGAAAGGGAAGGTAGATTTAAGAACTTATTCACGGAACCGTCGCACAGACTCTGGATCCTGTTGCTGGTGATTGCGGGTCAAACGTTGTGCGGTTTCATGGCTATCTTGTCCTACAGTAATACTCTGGTTAAAAACTTCCATCTAAATTTCAATTCTAATACCATTCTTCTTTTAATATTCGTGGTATCGTTGATATCAAGTATATTATCTTCGTGCTTCGTTGACAAATTCGGTAGAAGAGTCGTTTTCCTCAGCTCATCGTATGGCACTACGCTATGCCTTACTGTCATTGGAGTGTATTTCTTGCTTGAATCTTTAAAAGTGAAGACCGGTGACATATCTTTGGTACCGATGATTGCTCTTGTGCTTTACATTATCGTTGTAGCATTTGGCTTGCTCCCGATTCCAGGGATCATCTCCTCGGAGATATTCCCAACAAATATGAAAGGTTGGGCGGTCATGATCGCTAATGTTTGCGGATCCGTGCTTAACATGATTGTGCCAAAATGTTATCAACTTGTAGTAACTCATTCGGAAGATTATGTAATATTTTTCGCCTTTGCCGTCATCCAACTTATGATCGCAATCACTGCGACCATCATCTTGCCGGAAACGTCACGGAAGACATTCAAAGAAATTCAAGAAATTCTGTCAAAAAACAAGACGAAAAAGAATACAGACGAAAACGAAACAAAATAAAAACAAAACCTGTTTGCATTCTATTTATTCAAGTTTCTTCTGTGATTTTCATTGCGCCGTTAAAATCCTATTTCAAACTGTTTAACCATCACGAGAAAACACGAGCGTCCCGGATATATTCGTGCGCATGTATTGTCTGAAAATCTTAACGCTGGATAAATAGATAGAATATTAAAAGGAAAGGATAGAAAATATTGTATTGTATTTCGTACTAAATGTGAAGCATCAGGATGAGTAAAATTACGCATTCGTTTATGTTCTCTTGCTGTTTGATTCACGACCTCTCTATTTGTATCTTCAATATAAAAGAATTTGATCTCGTGAATACATCGACAGTGGGAAAGAAAAGGAAAAGAAGATCAAAATGTTAGTTATATAAGAAAATATATATGTACTTTCTTGTAATTTTAAGCGAGATGTGTTACGTGTGATTGAATTTTTCGAATCATTATTATTACGATGTTTCTCATCTTAGAGAAGAAGATTAATAATAGTATATATACTCTGTATGTTATTGTGCTATGTATACTTTATGAAGGAAACTATCATTGTAATAAAAAAAGCAATACAAATAAAAATTGTTTATCCATCTCCTAAACAAATTTTACTGGAAAAAATTTGGATTCATGCTTTCGTTTTTCCCTGCTTTTTTCCATAGCGAAATTCTTATCAATTGATTGATATGATTACTTTTTTTTTTCTTTCCAATGGCAATTAGAAGAAAAATAAGAAAATTTAAAAAATGCTTTACATATATTTTGAAATATGCTTATCACTAATTATAATAAGCTTGAATGCTCATTACTAATTATATATATGTCTTGAAATTAAGTTGAAAATTATACAACTTAAAATATTGCGTTACTTCGCAATTTTTGATTCAACGCATTGTTATCCGAGTTTATATCTGCTTTTGATGATTTTATTTGCTTTGTATTATGCAGTGTATTGTTTTCCATGAACTTCTGTAGATCTTTTTCGAATATATTCTGGATAATTTTGAAAAAAAACCTGTGTTCGTGAATTTTATATTAAATGACTCGATAGCGATATAATTGCATTTATCATCGTAACAGTTTATAATCACTTAATGTAAATTGCAAACCGTAATTCGGAACAACTTTTTTCCACAATCAACCAAATCTTTTCAATTTTCTTAAAATCTTTATGTTGACGTCGTTTATCATAATCTTTAATCGTTTTGAAACCAATAACCGGATAATTAAGAAATTTCTCATTTCTGGAATTTAAAAAACATGAAATATATTGTGACATGTATAACATTTGTACAACTGAATGTGAATTCTGCTACCAACCTTTTTCCGCAATTGTCTTTGCGTTAAAATTCTCTAATTTTGTAAAACAAGTTACAATATGTACATATTTCATACTAAAATATTATTTTTAGAAAATTTCAAATAAACTAACATACAATTTAATTAATAAATATTCCAAGATCTTAATAGACTTCGTTTAATAATAATAATTTATAATAAATTATAATGTTTAACAATTTCCACGTTGACCAATTTTATTTTAGACACAATTTTTTACATAAAATTTGTGTTTACTTAAAAATGAACAGAAACATAATTTCATACAGCAACTTTCCCCAGTGTATCTGCATATTGAAATTCTTTATTATTCTCGTACTCGCACATATCTAGTGCGATTACACAGCTTTCTCGTACGACTCTCTTATTGTCATTTAAATATTTATTTAGAATGTCAAAACAATCTGGAGTAGCAATAGAACCCAACGCTTCCGCACACTCATGACGCACCATTTCATTTTCTTCTGCGTCCTTCAAAGACGCTTCTAAATATGGAATAGCAATCTCTTTTTGAAGTTGTCCAAGAACAAAAGCTATCTCATGTTTGAATAAAGCACTGCCTGTTTTTAGACCTATCATTAATAAATTTATAAAATTACAAAACCTTTAAATTATAAAAATATAGTAGAAAGAAGGGAAAAAATATTATCTTATTTACCTTCACTAAGAGCAAGAATACTATCTGGAGTACATATATTTCTTAAAGAGAACATGGCTCTGTATCTTTCAAATAAAGAAATATTTTCATTTAAAAGAATCTCTTTTAACTTCTTAACATCAGTAATATCTGCTGGTGGTGCAGGATCTACTGACATATAAGGACTCTTCTGTAAATTTGTTGAATTGCTATTTGATTTTAACCATTGTAATCTGCATAATGCTAATTCACATGTTTCTGCAACTTCTGGTACGCAATCTTTACTATATTCTTCTAATATTGGTATAACGCTAGGATCTCCAATTGCACCTAAAGCTTCGCCTATTAGAAAGAAATATATTATTTATTATAGGTAACATAAATTTTAACAATAAAAAACAAATATATGTAGTACCTGCTTCATGACGAACCATTGGCTCCTGTGTAATGTCTTTTAATATTTCTATGAGAATTGGTATAGCATGGGAATCTTGCATTTGACCAAGGCAATATGCGAGTTCATGCTTTAATAAAGCTGATTCATCATTAAAACAATTATAAATTTGTTGAATAGCTTCAGCTCCACCGATATTTTTTAAAGTAAATAAAGCACGAAATCTTTCTTTTAACGGTCGATTTTGATCATTTAAAATGCGACCAATAGCAGATATTTGATTTTCATTTACTTTCAACATGCTTTCAGAGTCTTAATGAAATTAATTGAACATATAAAATCTGGTATTTATAATTACAATTATCAGATGCCACCTTTTATAAGTTCCAAACATGAAAACACATGTATATTAAACTACTGTTTCACAAAAACATTTGAGGTTAAGTATCCAATCGAATAATGTCACATGTCTAAAATTTCTTAGAAACAACAAAAAGATACCTACATACACAGTGCAATATACATACACAAAATTATAATTCACGAATTATAAATTTGTATTTGAAATATGGCGCAAAGTAGAACAGATAGAATTGGAACAATATTTTCAAGGTAATATTATTTCACATAGATTTCATGAAACTTCAAAGCATGTGTGTATTCTATATAAAATAGGTTAAAAATTCTATTATTATTTATCATTATATACATACATAAATTCATTATAAATTATACATAAAATTACTTACATACAAAATAATTGATAACAAATGAAAGCATTTTTGTTCTATTAGAAATTATAAATGCACAGCAAAAAATTTGAATCAAGTTATTTTGAAGTTTCAGAAAATCAAATTTATTTGAAATACAAAAAAATAATCTTTTATCATTTTTTTTTTAAATTTCATTCTTTTACTTCATTTACTCTATTTTTAGAATGACAGCATTGGTACGTGCAGATGTATTACACCCAAATAATTTACCATTATGGTATGAAGTATATAAAACATTTCCTCCAAAATATGAACCAAAATATAATAGAAAACCACCAACAACAGAAATACAAAATATATTTTACCAAGAAGATCTTATAAGGGCGTAAGTTTTGAATTTTATGTAAATAATTGATGAATATACATTTTTTATCACCGTGTGCTTATAACATTTATTTATATTCCAAATGTATAATTTTGTAGAAAATTTCAAAAAGATATATCAGTCCCTATAATAGATATGAAAAATAATGATGTTACCAAAACTCAAATGTTTTATACTTTATATGAATGCTTATTACAGGTAATATAATACAGAAATTCTATTGTATTCTGTTAAATATAATACTATGTGACAGGCATCATACAATAAATTACCAATGTTATATGATTTACCATATTCATTATAGGGTGGTGTTGAAAAAGAAGAAGCATACAAGAAAGCAATGATAAGATATAAATCAATTTTCAAGATTTACGAATCTAAAAAATCACATAAAAGTACTAAACCGAACAAACCTTAGGATCTTATATATATATATTGTGTATTATATATATATATTTGTAATAATATACGAAATAGAAAAAAAACTATATTACATGTATATTTATTCTTCGTTGCACATTTTATTTTTGTTAATACTGTATAGTTTGTTGATAAGTATAAGATTATTTTCTTATTGTTTTAATTGTATATATGTGGTATTCTATGTATCATTGCTACATAATAATTTAATAAAAATATCAATTTGTTTATTGTAACTATTAAAATATAGTTAATATAATAATAAACAATAGATGTTATAAAATTTTCTACACTAACAATTTGTAATATATGATAAACACGTGTTAAAATAAATTCAGAAACTACCCTTATAGTCAGTATTTAAAAGCATAACCTTTTATATATGTTTCAAATTAAATGTAAAAATGTACATAATATAGAAATACAATACTGTTTTGTCTACCGTATAATACAAAAAGAATTGAGTAATATATAGTCCACGTTAGTAGTTCTTGTCGGACACACGTGCATATAGGTCAAACAGTTATATTATTGTTGTGATTTCTAAAAATTTTACTACAATAAAACTTGAAATTTAGGTAATTTTACGAACCAAGATGTCCTCAAGAAAACTTTTCTCGTTAATTTTTATTAGGAAGACATCAGAAATTTTATTGGGATTAAAAAAACGAGGGTTTGGAAAAAATAAATGGAATGGTTTTGGCGGTAAAGTAGAAAAAGGAGAATCAATTCTTCAAGGGGCTATACGGTAAATAATTTTTAACATCAGATTGAAATTACTTCATTCAAATTAATTAGAAAAAGATTGTAAATTTAGATTCTCATTTTTAATACTATAAATTTTTCTAAACTATAAAAACTACTATTAGTAATAAGCCAAGAACTTTATATTCAACAATCTTGTATTACACAATAACCGATACATTAAATAACAATGAATTTTAACAAAGATTTTTATCACTTTATTCAACAATATATAGGGTGATTCATGAAAATTATAATAATAAAAATTTAATATAGTTAATAAAAACATATTTGTGAATGTCAAAGATTTCTTTTATTTACAATATAAAAACAAAATTGTTACACATCATTTTTATTGACAGTGATTTTTTTTTTGACAATGCAATATATTTAAAAAGCACAATATTTATCTATATTTATTTAAACCTATTTAATCTTCTTTTGTATTTGAAGATAATTACAAAATATTTTTCATGAATCACCTTATATACACAGGTACAATTTTAAATAATTAAATAAATATAAAATAAGATGCTTATTAAAATTATAATAGTGATAAAAATAGTAGAAAAGATATTTAAACTAAATCTATAATGTATGAAATGTAATATGAATATTGCATATATTGTGTTTTATAATATTGTTATATAAAATAAATAATAACTGATAAATATACTTTTTAAATTGTCACTGTATAATTTTATAGTGAATTAAAAGAAGAATGTGGTCTATCTGCAGAGCAATTAAAAAAAGTTGGAATTTTAGAATTTGAATTTAAGGGAGATACAGTCCTATTAGAAGTTCATGTTTTTGAAACATACAAGTATAGTGGAGAACTAATAGAATCTGAAGGTATTTAAATTTCAAACATTAATATTAATAACTAAAATTAATATTACATTATTATAAAATATTTATTCTTATTAATTATATATATACTTTTATGTGCAATTTCAATTATAATTTAATGTCTCTATATTTGTTCATTTTAACCATATTGCAATAATTTTTATTTACTTATAAGCATGAAATTGCATGTCATTTGAATTATGCAAACTATAAAATTAAAAGAATTAAAAGAACAAAAAAAAGCTAGATTTGCTTGAGCAAAATGAAGAAATTAAAAAATATATCTATTTTTTTGCATTATTTAATTTATACCTAGTTAAAAATATAATAAATATATTATAATTATTAAACTGCAGATTTTTATGAATTTATTATCCAAAGCAGAATGTTTGTTACAATCTTTAATAGATAAAAGAAATCTCTAAGTTTCATTTACCAATAACAACATAAGGTATAAAAATCTGTCGTCTAGTAATTATATTTATATCTTTCTGTCCAGAAATGCAACCAAAATGGTATAATTTGAAAGATATTCCTTTCAAACAAATGTGGCCGGATGATGAATATTGGTTCCCTTACATGTTACGGGGGGAATTATTTAAGGGATATTTTTTGTACCGAGGTCAAGACCTAATTCTTAAGTATAACATTGAAACTATGGAAGAACTACCAGCATTAGATCAAGTCTTTTAACATTCATACTTCATTCAGAATTTTTGCATATACTCCTATTCATACTAATAACTTTAAAAAATTCACTTTCACATTTTTATAATTATAATAAAATTTAGCTTTACACTAATTTGACAATGTTTTTTTAGTAATAAAACCACCTTTGAGTCATTACTTTTTATCACTCATTAATCTTATTGATTATATCAAGAAAAATTTTTAAGCAGACATTTTGTATGAATATATTACATTAGTACTATATTAATTGTACCTGGTTGCTGATTTTCCACCAAATAAAAGCACGCTAAACTCTTAGATATATACAAATATTTACTGATATTTCAGAGATCATTAAATAATTTTTTTTAAATATATTACGAGGTTACTAATCCCCTTTTCTACCTCTTTTTTAATCAAATGAATATATTCTTACTTTTAAAATCTAAGTACTTACATAATAAGTTATAAAACTATACTGTGATACATCACATAAGGATAAAAATATCCTGCTTAAATTATGCTCATTTTGTAAATAAAGATTTGCAGAGAATATATTAATCAAGCACCGTGTAGCTTGGACAGATAAAGGATAAATATTTTTATCTTCAGCTCAAAAGATACAAGGTGAGGCAAGGTAAAAAGCTTAAAATCTACAGATTAAAGTATATCATGGACGTATAGAATTCTCAACCAGTTATATCACTTTTATCTTTGCACCATAAAGCACTCTTGGCTTTATTTTGTTATAGAAGTTTATACTTAAGCAGCTGACCAATGTTCAGATCTCCATAAGAGAGCATACATACTATGTTTAAGATCTTCTGCATCTAAACTATCGATCAGAAAATCTGTATATCGTGAAATTAAACTTCTGTAACCCTGACCAACAGTTGCCAGTACTAACTTTTTTTCATCTGTTGATTTAAACGATATTATTTGACATACTTTACCTTCGAAAGGTCTGAAAACGGTAATCGGTCTGAGGGAGTTGCATTCAGCTACTACAATACATCCCCAGGTAGTACCAATATACAACTGATTCCTACAAGTTTCCAGAGCTGTTACTTGACACTTTTCTGTTGATAAATTTTCTTCTATAGAAATGGATTTTAAACTTTCTGAACAAGGTACTAATTTGGACATATCTAATTTATTTATTATTTGTCTAGTATCCACATCCCATTGATATACAATACATCCTGGGTACGTATATGATAATACACAATTTTCAGCACTCAATAAATGTGTAGCAAATAAATTTTTAATAGCTGTTTCTCCATGACAAACTTGTACTGTATCTATTAGATTGTTGTCTTTTAAAACATAAATTGATACTTTACCAAAACTTTGTCCAACCCACAATTCTAATATACGCTTTTTTTTGTAAACAGCTGCCAAAGAATATGTCTTTACACTATCTTGAATATCAGTCGTAATTTCCATCTTTTTCATTTGTGTGAAAGAATTAGATAATAAAAATGTTTTTCCACTATGTAGTGCCACTGCAAATTGTTTTATTTGTTCCAAATAAATTAAACCTACTATTTTAGATTCTATACTATGATCAAGTTCAAGATTATAACTAGCAACACAACCAAAATTACTGCCTAAATAAACGTGCACTTGCCCTATATCATCACCAATCCAAATATATCCATCTACTCCACACATTGCATATGGTATTATAGGAGTCTCAATCCTGACATGTTGTAACCAACCTTTCTGTGTTCCTAATAACATATCAACTTCACCATTATTATGTCCAAACCAAATTTCATCTCCATTTAAATTTTCTTCTATAGTTCTATTTGTCATAGTAATAGCAGTTACTTGAGTTCTCTCTGTTAACAGTATAACATCTATAAGATGTGTAAATTCAGGGGCTGATGCAATGGAAACTATTTGACTTGCAGTAGGTCGATCTTTTGGATTTTGAGCCCAACATATGACCATTAAATCAAGAGCATAACAAGGGTGAAATGTTTCTCTGTATGTCAACGGCGGTCTTCCACCTTCTAAAATGCATTCTTTAACTGCTTCATGACCCTCAAATGGTTGTCTTAAAGTGATCAATTCATATATAAACATTCCAAATGAAAAAGAATCAACTTTTTCAGTATATTCTTCTTCGCCATTATATTTAATAATTTCAGGTGCCATAAATCCTTCCGTTCCTCCAAATCCTTTAGCACCAGTTGGTAATGTAAGTCTGGATATACCATAATCAGCTACTTTAACATGAACAGGATGTTCAGGATAATTTTGGAATGGTAAAGGCATTTGCCAAACTAAAACATTTTCTGATTTTAAATCCCTATAAATCACATGTTGTTGATGAAGATATTCTACAGCTTTCGCTACTTGAAGAATTATAGCTTGTAATGTATATGGATCTAATTTAGCACCAGAACGTCTATAATTTTTCAATACATTATCCAATGCGCCTTCTGGTGCTAAATCTAGTACCAATGCTAGTGGACTAACCACTATTCCAATTAGAGGTACAATATTTGTATGCCTGAGTGTCAGTAAAATATTTAATTCTTGCCTTGCGGTACAATAAGCTTTACAAGCATATTGTAAAGGATCTCTATCCCATTTACTTTGCGCAGCTTTATAAGCAAGAATAGCAGATTGTTTTGAATTTGGACCTGGTGGAACTGGCTGTAACATTTTGATAGCAACATCAACTTTTTGATAAGTTCCTGGTAAGCGACAAACACCTTTAAATACAAATCCAAATGCTCCACGACCTAATAATTTTCCCAATTTAATATCTTCCGATTTTATTAAGTGTTTTGATCCCAGATCCATAAAAATGATATCTGGAGCTACATGTGACAATGGTATATCAAAATGTTTAGGGCAACTAATTGGTTTATTACTATAGGCAGACAAAATACATTCTTCAACCATCCAAGAATATGCTAAAATACCTTCAGAATGGGTATTTTGCTTAATAATATCTGGATGACCTTCTAAAGATGGCATCCTACTTGACGTTAAGCTATCATATCCTACGCCGCTATCACCATCAGACTTATAACTATCCTGGCTTTGTCTTTCTTTATTTATGTAATATTTTTGAATATCTTCTGTCAAGCGATCATTATCACTAATATCATTCTCGTTTTCTCCATTATTCAATAAACAACGTGGACATGGTATTAATCGTGTAACTAATAACTTACCCTCGGATGTATGCACAAAACGTGTTCCTAATGTAGGATACCAATCTTCTAATAAAATATCAATGTGATCGACTATCAGAGCCAATAACTGTGGCATACTTTCTGGTCGAGGTTCTACTACAATTGCTTGATACCCCATTGGCTCTTCTTCAACCGAGTCTGACATAATGGGTTGTTTTATCACTAAAGTATCAACTGGAAACCAAATTTCTAAAATTGCTGAATTCTTTAAATCTACTGTACACCATATTCCATCTTGTTTCAGTTTAAATTTATATTGCCTATAGTCGTACGGTGAATTCTTTAAGTTATAATTGACTTCTTTGAGGCGCAGTAAAGTAATATTAGAATATCTTAATTCTATTCCTGTTTGCCAAAGTACCCATTCAGCTTGTGTATCTAACAAACTTGTAAAAATACTGTCGTCAACAAAATCTTTGAAAGGCGCTAGAAATGACATCACAATCTCGACAATAGCATCGTCAGCTAAAATTCTAGTTATGAGCCTCGACCAAAAACCACTGGGAAAGTATGACATTAAAAGCAGTCGCGTGACAGAACAATCTGGTTGTGATCTAGACGTCAGTACACATTCCGTATTCGATTTACCATCCCCGGTAGAATTTTGGAATGTGATCATTGGAGATGTAATCTTTTTAGAACGTATGTGCCAACCACGTGTTTTTACAGGAATTTTGATTATTTGATTGTTTCTTAAGATATCCTCTTCAGTTGGCAATAAGGAAGGAATCAGTAAAGTGCGATAATCCCAAGTTAACGCAACTTCAAACTTATTTAACAAGCTAACGATGTATCCTTGCGTATCTATAGATGATATTGTAGAAGATTTAAAAACATGTTGAATATCGTCTAGTTTCATTATGCCACACCTGGCAAAGGGATTGATTTCACGTATCGTTACTACATGTGCTAACATGTCGCAAAGCCATTGTGGATCAAGAAAATATAAATCCTTTAATGTAGCATCGTCATAATGTAAGATAATACCATTTTCATGAAGAAAAAGTGTTGCTTGATGTAATTCAGCGGGATCCCTAAATGATCTATGCAATTTTTGAAGCTCGTTGTTAACTGCCGTATAATACTGATCAGCTTTTAAGACTGGATCTCCACCGGACAATTTTCTGTCATGTGCAAGCTGTATTACCACATCTTCCAAGGCGAGATAACTGGCAGGAACTTTTTGTTCAAGCAATAATTCTTTGCTTCCGGGTGATCTTAAACTAAATACAACATCGTATATCAAGTTACATAGCATTTTTATATTGTGTTTCGTTTTACAGCTCACTTCGATGGTTTCCATGACTTTCGGCAACCCACATTTTTCAGCATCGACCACATTTATAAATTTATCACGAATGTATTGTTGCAATGCCTCGCTGTGCTCATACGATATATCATAATGAGTGCCAACAATAATTACTGGAGAATTGGGGGCTCTACTTTGAATATTTACCAGCCATTGAAATATTTCAGATACACCTTTAAAACCATCGATGATTCTCCATACTACCAAATATAGGCTTCGTTTAGACAAGAAGTATTGATGCGTTGCATAGTATTCTCTTTGTCCACCAAAGTCCCACGTTCTAAAATAAACAGGACCGTGAGACGACTGACCTCTTACTTTCTTCTCATAAATCCAGTCTCCGATATCAACGCCAACGGTAGATATTGTTGTTCCTCTGGCAGTCTTCGCGTTAATATTTTTATTACCCATTCGTTTTGCCCAATGTTCTGCAGCTTTCTTTTTATTTGGGACTTCACCCTCTTGCCTCAACTGTTCCAACAAGCTAGTTTTACCGATACCTTGAATTCCTACGATCATTAGCTTCATGCGCGCGTACGGTTTAGCATCCTCTAAAATTGACTTTAAATAACCGATCACGTCCATTGTTTTATATTTTTTCGATTCGATCATCGTTTTCAATGGTTCTTGCAATCTACAACCTTGAGTATTTAAATTCCATAAACGAGAAAGTAATCCCATTTGCGGCGGCAATTCAACAATTTCCGAATTACCGCTGATATTTAAAACAGATAGATTATTAAGCTCGTAAATGTTCTGGGGAATCTCTTTCAGTTTGTTATTACTGACGTCGAGCATACTGACATTAGGGAACAGAAGATACGACTTCGAGCCAGAATAAGTGATTTTCGTGTCTCGGTCCACGCTCTCCTCTTCTAAATTCGGCATTTCTCCGTCATCGATTGACGTCAATTGAATTCTATTCAATAGGTTGTTAGCAAGTATCAACGTCCTTAAATTTTCTAAACGCAAGTGACGCCTATGTGTGCAAACCGACATGAGAACTACATCGCGTAAAGATGTAGCCGTTTGTCTGTTACTGCCTGGAACAATCGGGGATTGTACGTTTGTTGTGGGGCAATAACACGCGGTATTTGCTTGTTCCATCAAGTCAGCACCGTCCACTTGTGGTAAACTGGGCCACCGAGAGATCTGATTATTGGATAAGTCTAATTGTTTTAAACTTGCCGGATACGATGTGATGTGGCTCATCGATCGAAGAGAATTATAAGCCATGTTTAATCTCACTAAATTGACAGCCAAGCATGGCAAAGCTACTGGGATACTATTGAATAAATTATGCGCCAAATTCAGGGACGCAAGCACCGATCTTGCCCCGCCTTCGTTATCGTCCGAGACCTTTTCCGATACTTGAACAGACTTGGTCCAAACGTGAGGGCGATCCATCTCTATGATTTGTGCATTTGCTATTTTAGTGAATGACTCAAACTCCAGGGAATCCTCGCGTGAAATAGCTAGTTGCGACGCTAAACTCCGACTGCTAGGGCTGTTGTTTAAACAATCGTCGCGTTGTGTTTTTCGCGAGATATTTTGTGAAACTTGACTAGGTAAGATCTTCAACAGATTAAACGACGCATTCAATTCCTTTAATTTCGGTGCGCGCCACAGATTATCCGGAAGACATTGCAATTTATTGTTTGAAACATCCATGATCTCCAATGCAGGTAAATTCATTATGAATTCCGGCAACTGTTCCAATCGATTGTCCTGAAGGTACATCTCTTCCAAAACTGGACACAGTTTGTCTTTAGGACTTCTTGGTTCAGCTGTAAGAGTATCTATTTTATTTTGAGCCATATTGAGGTATCGTAGGCTTTGTAAATAAAATATAATAGATGGTATGGAAGTAATAGAATTAAGAGAAATATCTATCCTCGTGATAGCATACAACACCAAGTCGTTATTCTTAGCGCTCAGCTTTTTGTTCACGTGTAATACAGCATCTGTCAGCCACTGAGCTCGTATTTGTGAGAGATGACACTGTTGATCGTGCCAATTAATCATCGTCGGTGTATTTGGAAATAGCGCCGAGTACGTTACATTCCCGAAAGACGATAATGCAGAAAAGTGAGAAGTTTGAGTACATTCGGTCATAGCTTTCTTATTAATTTTGTATTCTGAATCAGGATAAGCTTTTATAGATAAAAGTTTTGCTGTAAGTGGTTCGTCTCTGTTTTGTGCAGCAATTTTGATTGCTTTGCATGTATTATCCACAGCACCGTGCTTCAATAAAAGATCCGCAATTTTTATATCACGCTGTTGACAAGCTATAATTAACGCACTAGAGTAATTACTTTCTGGATCGCTCTGATCGTAAGGAACTTTTACTGGCAAATTAGGATCGGCACCTGCCGATAGTAAAGCGGCAACTACTTCTGTATGTTTGCCTTTTACTGCTGCATGCAAAGAAGTTTCAGTAGCGTTGTTGCAATACAAATCTAAATTTAATGGACATATCATATTGTCATCCTTTTTATCGAACGTTTTGCTTCTAAAATTCAAACTAGACATTAATCTTTGTATTCCGCTTGAAATTTTTCTTTTCGAAATCGGGAGCGGCTGCGCCACCCCCATGTCTTCCTCTTTGATTTTTCTTGCTTTCACTTTATAATTTAATAGTAATTCTACAATTTTAATATTTCCAAGCATACTAGATATATAAAGAACATTCTGTCCCGTAACGTCCTGAGTATTGATGTCAAATGGCATCTCGTATTCATATTCACCGGATGAGTCTTTGTAGCGTTGATACGTATTTTGTGGATACTCGAATTTCAACAGTAAATCAATAACTAAATGATGACCATTTATAGCCGCTACATGAATCGGTAACCATTTTTCCACGGTTAAAGATTGTACTTGTTTAGGAAAATGTCGAAGGAGCAATTCCACTATTTCTACTTTACCATTGTAACAAGCTATATACAATGGACAGTATTTCGTTACAGGATGCATTCTGCAGTCTGCGCCATAATCCAAAAGCAACCGAACTATATCTTTGTGACCCATCTCGCAAGCTATAAAAAGCAGAGTATTTGCACCATTTGGTGCCATGTTGATAATACATTCCAAGTCTGAAGTATGCCCTTGAATAAGATTCTTAGCTGCCACGGTGTCTCCTTGAATACAGATTGCACGCAAAGAAGCATGTACCGCAAGTTTTGCCAATTCATATTTTTCAGCTGCCGATTTAAGCAAATTTATACAGACATCTTGCTTAGCCTTCTCAGCCACGTCCAATGGTCTCTCGCCATTATTGTCTTGAATCATCAGATTAGCATTGAATTTTAACAGTTTTTCAATATTCGAATTATGACCGTGTTCTGCACAAATATGTAATGGTGTACGATAATGACCTCGTGGTCCACATGGAATATTTGGATTTGCTCCTGCAGACAATAGTACATCCAAACATCTTGAGTTTTCAGTAATAGCTGCAGCATGCAACGGTGTTCTACCCCATGAATCTTGACTATTTATATATTGTGCATGCTCTCCTCTTAGAAGATCTTCCAACAATTCTGCATTATCCCACAAAGCAGCTTGGTGTAGCAGACGGCCAGGAAAGTCTTCATCGATAGGAGTATAATCTTCCATGGTGTGAACTATAAATATTCATATTGTATTTTTATTTTTTATTTTTCAATAATATATTCTATTTGTAAAAATATTATTTCGTACTTACCAATTGAATCTTGGGTATAAATATCCAATTACATGATTATAAATTCATTTGATCATCGATTATGCAGTGATATTGTTGGTGTATTCTTCTTTTGCGATATTTCGCATGACTTTTTATTTTCTATTCGATCAAAATTGAATGTTTTATATTTAATACAACTTAATTTACAAAAAATTGTACCATACTCTATGAATTTTAAATCCACTGTGTCTAAAGTGGAAGTTAAATATTTGAGATTGTTTATATACATTTGTAAAATTTCGATTACTTAATTACGTCTTTTGTATTAAAAAATTCTATGTATATTTGAAATAGAATCTCTGAATTTATTCTTGTTACTTTAGTAACATGGTTACTTTCTTCTAGCCGTTAAATAACAATTTTTATTTATCATTTAAAATAATTTAATATTAGTGCATTAATGTAAAACTCACATATAATACATCATCACATATCAATCGGAGTATGGTTCAAAAATATTCGCAAAAATCATGTTGAATTAGTATTTCTTAATTTTTCGCTGCTCACTGTACACGCGTAATTCTTCCCCATGGTTTTTAATTGTCTTCTTTTTCACTGACAATTATAACAATAGCTTGTTTTCCATGATAGCTTTGGAACAAAAAAACTAGTGCAGTATTAAACATAACACTTGGCGATGGCCATTTTGTCAGTTCTCTTTATCGACTGTACGCACCTTTAGTTACAATTTTATGCATGAGCATCAATGGCATGCATGAATAACGTTGAATCGATTTAGATGAATAGCATTGTCACAGACGGAATGCAGAACAGATCTATTATCTTATAGAATTTCGTGTTACACTGAAATACCGATCGTGCGAAAAAAATCCAGTTTTATTATACCCCCCCCCTCCCTCTCGTTTTAAATGGTGGAAGTATAATCAATCCAATCATCGTACTTAATAAAGTTAGTGGGTGTAAAAAGAAAAATGTCTTCTATTACACTCAAGTATAAAAATTGTATGTAATTGTATCGTATGGTTGGAACTATAGTAAACTACTGACATAAAGTATCATTCATGAATGAAAAATTGTATTCTCATATTCCTCATCTTCCATATGTATAATGCAATGTAATGAAAACATCGTAAGAAAATATGTTCAAATGCAATCTTGCACGGACTGTACATAAATATTGTCATGATATTGTTATAAATTTTATTATACATAATATCAATATATAACTCTGAAAAATCTATTTGTTATATTGGTCAAATTTCATCAATTCATCAATGATAATTTAATTTTTATCATGATAAAAATACATACAACTCATTTTTCTAATAAATAATCAACATTAATTTATTTTCATAAAAAGAATTTAAAATTATTTTAAATTATATTTAATTCATAATTGTATTAATAAAATTAATTATATAAATAAAAATAGACCTTGCTCTCAATATCAAATGAAAACCAGCAAATTTTTACGTGTAATATTTTTGTATATATTCAAGTTTCTTATATGTATATATATAATATATTCTATTAGAAATTTACTTTCATTTTCTATTAGAAGTTTCGTGATTAGTAACAATAAAAAAATTATATTCACTAAAATATTATTATTGTAAATAATTTCAATTATATGTAAGAGTCATGTAATAAAAATATTTATTTACAAATTTTATCGTTATATCTATAACATTAAGGAGATGTACTATGATTCAATGAAATACATTAATAATTATGTATAGAAATTTTTTTAATTAAAAAATTAGAAAACTTTAACATAATAAATTGGTAATAAACTTTCAATGTTCCACTTGGCAGCCTTCGAGACTCAATGCTCGAGCCAGATTCCTAGCGATAGCTAGTCGGAAGATTTCAATTTTATTTTGAAATTTTAGGTCGTCTCCATGTGCTTCTACGCAACGCAATAATTCAAAACAATCACTGGAAGATAAAATTACATCTTTCGCCTCTAATAGTGGAATAGCATCCGACAAAAGTATCGACCAAAAGCTGAAATAAATATTTTTTATTGTATTAATTTTCCGTTTAAATTCCGGTTATATTTATCTAAATATAAATAACTTACTATTTCGGTGTTAAATTTGAAACTAAAAGAGATACTAATAAACTTGCTGCTTCTTTAAACTCTCCAATGCTATACATTTGATGAAATTCACAATACTTTCCTATTATAAAAAGCGAAAAGCATAATTGCATATTTTATTAAGGATTTGTCTATGTTTTTAAAATTTCAAAATTGATTTACCTAAAAATGTGAGTCTATCACTAGCCATCATACAAAAACCTAAATTTTCTAATAAGTCACGACAATCTAATTCTCCATATTCTGCATAACGCTTTAAAAATTGATCGGCGATATATGTTATAAAACCACTATCCTGTGCTTTTAATGCCCATGCAAGTGCATTACCCAATCTTCCTTGTTTCATAGATTTCAATCCTTGAATTTTACAAATACTAGTAACTGCAAGGGAGAATGTTTAAATAGACAATCTTATATTAAAATGAGTAAAATATATTAATTTGAGGAATGATATCAACCTATATGATCCATCTTATTATCTCGTGCTATGTCTAGGATCTTATTTACTCTTGCTTCTGATCTCATTGGTAGTGATTGTAATAGTATTTCTAGTCTCGCTAAACCTTCAACAGGACAGTGCATCAAGTAACTTGCACCACATTGCCACAAAGAGTGATGTCCCATTAATGCGTTGCCATATTCCAATATTAGAGATTCGTGAAGTTGATTACTGACTCTGATAAAAATAAAATTTAGTTGAATTTTCATTTTTCGTACTTTGAGTAACATGAATTATTATTATTATAACTCCACTTACTCCACTTGGTCTCTATCCAATATTTTAAGTTTTCCACAAGCATATAATAAATCTACCAAATGAGCAGCAAACCATCCATTATCACCCATGTATTGTATTTCTTTAATAACATGGTGCAAGTTGCTTTCCATCACAGCACGAATAGCATTATCAGAAGGTTTATTAGCTTGCCATCTTTTGGAAATATTATTAGCATGAAGAGAAAGTTCAGGTTGTTTACAACACGGTGAGGTGTAAAATAATTTTGCTGCCAACAATTCGTACCAAGCATCTGTATATTGTGAAAATTGCCACAGCATATCTTGCTCTCCTGCAATTAACTGTATTAAATGTTTTTAATAATTTAAACAGATACTACGTTTTATTGTACTGTATATACTCATATATATTGTTATAGATACCTTCATAATCATTTCTAAATTAGTGTCAACAATGAAAGCTTTACTGTTTAAATTTGAACATAATTCTAGTTGCCAACGTTTCCAACATGTAGTAAATCCATCTATAGAATAACCACCATATACATTATAGATAGGCATTGTTTTAAGAACATTTTCTGCCATTACAAAAGCAGGGTGATCTGCTTTACTATGCAATGCCAATAAAGCTCTCACTAAATCTAACTTTCCATGTAATGCACAGCCTATTACAGCTTCCCAATAATTTGGATACTCCAAATCAGCGCCAATTGTCTTCTGAGCTAATATTTTAACTGCTACAAGTTCTCTAGATGGAAAGTGAAATCTAATCCACTCTAACAGCTGTGGTAAAACTACATCACCTAAATTAAAAATATTGAATTTTAGAATTTTTTGATACTTATTTATTATTTTCTATTTTCAACGTATAATTTACCTGGCACTACATCTACATAAAGAATTTCAATCAAGTGCCAAACACATTCTATTTGATAAAAAATGGTCAGAAAATTTTCTAGTGATTCTTTCTTATCTGACAAACATTTTCCACAGATGTCTTGCAAACTTTCTATACATGCTCTCAAAATAGATCTGTATTGCTTGCTATGTTTTAAAAGTTCTGGTCTAACATCTCCAGAAACAGATTTTATTTTTTGAATGGACAGAAAGACACCATTACTCTCATTCACTAATTTACGTAATTGAGGTGAAAATAAAATTATTTCTGGTCTTAAAATATATACCGTCGGGTCATATTTTTCTGAACTTTCTTTAGCTAATTTTTTATATATGCCAATTCTGTTACTATTGACCCAATTTCCAGTTATACGTAGATGCTTAGGAACATTTGGAATATCCTACAAACAAAAATATTTTTTTTAAATACATTTTCACTTTGAAAAATGTAAAATCTAGCTAAAGTAATACAATATCTTATAAGAATAAACGAAGATCTCATCAACTTAAATTAACTAGTATAAGAATAAGAATAAAATTATAATAATATTATCATGCCTTCCTTCTGCATAAATAAACTTACATTTAATTTATGATATGGCTTTTATAAGATTGGAACAATATTAATTACACGAAAGGAAGAAAATATAGGTTAAGTATCAATACAAAGCATGCACGCGGTTCATGATTTTATTACTTACTATTGTTGGAGGACTATCGTTTTCATCCATACTTATACGAAAAAGAAATTATTCCAAGTATACTTTATTGTGTAATAACATTCAACTTTTACATTTGTAACGAGGTTTATTGTATAGATTAAATGCACAGTATTGTCAACTATCGATAGCAGTATTTAATTCTGAAAGAATCGATATATTGTATCTCTATATCTACATATCGATACTCGGCAGACATTATCGATAATATCAAAAGAAACGTTTTATCGAAAAGTGCACTTGTCATACCGACATTATGAAGTGGTTCAAAACTTTAACAGCATTTGATGAAATTTTTAACTTGCTATTATATAACAATATTGTGCTTTAATTAATTAAATAATTGACAGTAAAGGCATAATCTCGAATTGACGAGAAAAGAAGTGTGAAACAAAAAAGTGAAAAGTGAAACATAATACGAAAGTGTAAGTCCCAATTGAGTTACATTTTTTGCAACAATTATTATTATTCACACTATTTATTTATTATTGAATTAATTGCAATTAACAGTTATATTCCAACTTTTTTAGTTCCTACACATTCAGTATTTCATTGTTAGTGCACTTTTCAAGAATTCATAGATTGGAATTTCATTTTATCAAATAGCTAATGCCTCTAGCAGTAATGTCTTTATTTCAGTCCATATTGTTTATGTTAATCAATAAAAATCAATACTTTTCTGATTCTATTGTGTATATCAAATTATTGTTAATAAACTGAGAATTTTTATGCATTTATAGAAAATTCAAAGATATAAAAATGCATACAATGCACGTAGTACATGAAGCATATCAAAATTATAATGTTATAACATTTAGTATGCGAAACAAACCTCTACCTAAACTTTACTCTTTAAATTATTTCCACAAAAGTATGAATTTGCATAAAGCTCCGCAGTCCAATTATTAAGCTATACTAGTATATTAGTGTAGTACAGTGTCAATTAAATTATACATCAAAGGGATTTCGATAGTCACATGTTATAACAATGACATTTATGTATAATTGTAAACTTTATTTTGTTTATATACATCAAAGGGATTTCGATATTCATGTGTTGTAACAGCAACATTTATTTGTAATTGTAAATTTTATTTACAGGCCAAGTGCAAGAATGACTGTGAAGAAAACAACTGGAGATTAGTCTACATCACATTCTGATGTGTATACAACATAAGCACGAGTCAGCCCCACTCATGCGGAACGCTCGGCAAGTCCGGTTCACCATTGGCGGCCGAACGTAACCGAGGAAAGACGACCCGTAACACGACCATGGGAACTGGATTCCGTACGAATAATCTGAGCTTGCGCGGTGCTTTCGAAAGGCGCGTCCTGGCTCGGTCGTCTGACTACGGTCGAGCTTTTACTCGTCGACGAGCTCTCGTGCTGGAGCGTGCGCGTCTCTCTCGTTGTAGCGGGACAAGGAGAGAAGAAGGAAGGAGAGAGCGGTGGTCTCGTTCGCGTTCGGCCGGGTCACCACGTATCAATCCCACAAGTAGCAGAGACGCTACATCCAGAAAGACTAGACACAGAGTCGTCCCGCACGCGAAAATGTAACGATCTCAGTAGTGGGGCCGGTTGTCTGGAAAATTGGTTTAGACAAAAGGGGAGAAAGAGGTGATATTCCTTTCCCCCGTGTCGCTGCTCGCGAGTGAAGCATCTTGAAGAGAAGGGGATCCATGGCGTGAGGCATCAGTTGGTTCATTCAATTATTTCTGCACGAAAGTCTGAAGCTCGAGATAAATCAGGTACGTGGACACGCGCATATTTCTTTCCCTGCTTTCATTTGTTCCTCGAGTGATAAATCGCTCGAGGAATTTACGATCTAGTACGTGAAGCTTCGCTTTATTACCTCGCTACCGGCTTCTTCCACCTTTCTTTTTTTTTTATTTTTTTTTTTTTACGCTTGTTTACGTAGACGAGTGGATGTTCGAAATTGTCCACTAAATCGAAATGTACGCGAACGAAAGATCGTTGCAATCGGATGAAGGGGTTGCATTCTCAAAGGGGTTGATGCAATTTCATACCGGCTTTTCGTGTCTGGTGAAGACTATGAATAAAAACATCAAGTTCATCATTGATGGACGATAAAGTTAAAGTAAAATAACCGTGGTGGTCGTAGTTGACGTTTTGCGCAAAACTCGACCCGACTGCGTGGTCGACTACTATGTACGACGCAGTACGTTGTTGGCCTCCCCTTTCACCTTTCGTTGCACACCAGAAACACAAGCTTAATTATTTCGACCGATTTTTAATAATTTTCGGCTCATTTGTATTTGGATATTTCTTAGTTTTAGTGATCTAGGAGTTGTATTGTTGTTGTACAACATAGTTATACTTTGAAATTTCGCATTAATGTTTGTAAGAAATTTATTTCGAATTCTTTGCATATATATTAATAGTAGTTAATATTACTAAATAGAATGTACATTTATTTAAAGTAAAACGATACGAGACTAGCGTTACGGAAGTCTTCCTTATATTAGAATTTGATTTATTATTAATCGTTTGTAGGACTTCGTTTCCGAGTATACGTTTGTGTATAGAGGCACTAGTACGTTGTATCTTGGATTTTCGCAACAGGTTATGTTTATAGAGTCAGAAATAGTAAGCAAAAACAGTATACAGACCATAGACAGACAATATTCGTCAGTACGCTTCACTTTTGAATTGAATCACTCAAAACATTTCAGGTTCATGCGCGACCTCGTCACTTTGAAAATATCAAGTTTTATAGAGATTGAAAGTTCAGAAGATGTCGTTTTATTTCTTAAAATGTAATTTAACATTTAACATTGATGTAATTTTCAAAATTTAAAAATCACAGAGGTATGTAGAAATATTTAAAGATTATTTTGAATTACATTTTTTGTGTTAGTGTAGTTCTACGTACTTTACGAAGCAAACTTCGATGATTCTTGAAAAAATTCGTCAAATATAATATAAATAACGATATTAAATATAATTAAGATAACTAGTTTATTAATTGTGAATTGTGATCTATCGAAACAGAATTGACAAATAATTTGATACTTATTTCGCCTGGAGGAATTATTTATTATTCAACATATCGCCACGCCACATATGTGTTAGTAAATAATTCTTAATGAGTGAAGGTATTGAGAAAATCAAGTTTCCAATGCGATGAATAGATGAAATTGATATTTCTTAAGCATCACACACTCTCTTTTTTATCCCTTTTTTTAACATAAAAATAAAGAGCAGGTTAAAGATCTCTGAATAGCTAAATACAACTTTGGTCGATAATTGACCTGGGCGCCAAAAAAATAACAGATATCCATCCTTTGTATCCACCTTCCTTCACTTTTTCTGTTAAACGATTGGTAACTTCTTTGAAAAACAAATGAAAAAGTGTTTTATTCGATGTAGTATGATATAAAATTAAAAATATTCTAATTGTGGGTACAGAGTACATATAGGTATAATAGCTTTTATTTAAGTAGCTTTCATCAAGTTTAGAAATTATCTTTTATCAGTTTTCATTGTTTCGTGCGTTCACTTCTGTTAGGAAGATAAAATAAATTCAAATGAGAATTAAGAATACAAAGAATGAATTTTTTTCTAAAGACGACTGTAATATATGGTTGTTCTCTCTTCTCCCTCTTGATTACTTACGCAATGGAAAACCTGATGCTTTTCCTTTCTCCGCTGAAAATAAGAATTTTTAATTACGAAGTTAACGCTTCAAAGCTAGCTTCAGAATCAAAATTATACAAATTTATTTCATCCAGTTTTTTTTTTCCTGTTCCCATTAGTATTTTATAATGCAAAGATTTCAAGAGACACTAGAATAACTTTTATATTTAGGAAGCTTCAATTTCATGTCATAGCTATAACTATGAACAATATTTTTCAGTTAGTTACCAATTAGTAACGTCCCCGAGTGGTAACTAAACCTTATAAAGCATACTCACAATTTCTTGTTTCTGCGGTTTCTCACCATCAGGATAATTATATTCATCGTCTGTTTTCTCTTATTTTTTTTTCTTTTTTGCATACATATATTTATAAAGATGTTGCATAAAAAAATCGATAGCCCACTTAAGGGAAGCTTAATAAAATCAGCGTGCAGTATCCGGAGTAATTGGGATTCGGACGGGTAAATGAAGCACTTACTGAACTAAAACGAGGAGGTCCGTGGTGTCGAAAGTCGAGTGTTCGGCACACATTATTCTCGGTTGCGATCGAGCCTTCCTCCCCCGCTGTATCCTCCGGTGCTTTTAGCCGCGGTGCATGACCTGCTTTTTGGTCCCGTTTGATTTGATGGTGCGCTCTTTGTTAGCTGTGGATCCTGGTGGTACGCGTGCTGCTTCTATCAGATGCATCGCGCCGACGCGATGAAACACGATGAATCCGGCAATCAAAAGAATATCTCGGGTATAGCCGGCTCTATCGACTGCTTTAATCCTTTTTCCCCTAGAATGCATCGCGACGAATGTAAAGAGCTTCAGAGCTTCCACGCCGGTTTCAGAATAAATATTTCCCTCGAAGGGAAACGGGAGATAATTAGACTGCGGATTCGTTCAAAGTGCACGCATTTGATAATGCAAAGATGTGTAAAATATTGAAAACGTAATATTTCGTTTATGATATTTAATAGATAAAGCAAGCCTCTGTCTAAGTTTCATTTTAATTTATTGTTAGAGGTGATATGGTGGTTTATTTGAGTACTTATTAGAAATTTGTTTTTTTTAATAGATATGCTGTGTGTATGTCACACGAAATTTCATTAACGCTATAATAAAATGTGATTATCATAATTACGGTGATAATTGAACGCATAATGTTACAAAATTATGCATACCTTGAACTGTTATGGTTTCGTAAAAGAAAATTATGCAGAAATCTATTTGGCTTTACTTTAAAACGTAAAACTCTTACGCTTTGACTGTTCCAAGTTCGTTTCTTCCAAAGATGCTTTTACATCACGCAGCGGGTGGGAAAATAAGGGTATTTTTATTCTCGAAAATTGTAAAAACTCGAGCATCTTTGAAAACATTAAAAAAACTTTTTTTTTGTGACCTGAACTACCACGGTTTTGAAAATTGAAATTTTCTCTTTAACCTTGCTTCACAATTTTTTTTTTGGCCATTTAATCGTACTTTGAACATTAGAGTTAGGCGACGAAATGGGATTTCTTGACTCCAATGTTTAAAGTTCAACAAAACGATGAAAAAAAGAATCGTACAGCTAATTTTAAAAGATTATTGTAAAGGGAAACTTCAATCCTCAAGATCACGATGGATTTAATTATAAAAAAATATTTTCAGTGTTTCTACGTACGTATGAAATTTTACAATTTTTTTTTTTTTGCTAAATGATGTTAAAAATCTCTTGAAAAAAAAAATGGATGCTTTACATTTTAAAATATAACGAACGAGACGAAGTAGATTGTTATGATTTTTTTTAACGAAGTTGTAACAGTTTAAATTATTGATAATTGTTCATTTAAATTAATTGTAGTGCAACATTGATTCCACGAAAACAATTTATATGTTAAAATGGTAACAAGATCGCAAAATTTTTTTAGAAAATCAAAATATTCTGCAAACTATTACATTTTTTTTTTTTAAATATTCGATAAAATATTATCCGCGTTAAAATTTGTGTGTTTAGTCTTGCTCATCGTTGCGTATTGATAAAATTTGAAAATGTCTACAGAAATTACAAATATACAAATAGTAATAATCATCAGAGTATTTCAGTTAATTATTAATTGACTATTTTTAACACTAACTCTACGTTGAAGATTAATATTCGTCAATTAAATTTTTTGTTAAGTATATGCTCGTAATAAATGTTTCGTAGGTTTTGCAAGATTACTAATACAATCACGATAATATAGTCACGATTATGTCTCGTCATAGTGCTAATGAAATTTCAAAAGGTTTCGTATGACAGACGTAAAATGGATTCGTGAAAACTTTCAAAATGATATCAAATAATAATCCTGTTGACCGACTTGCATATTTTTTCACGAAAATGCTCGTCGAATGTAAAAAGTTTCACTTCCCTCTGAGTTTAGAGTAAATATTTTCAAAGTAAAAATATAGAGAAATCGTGTTTTAACACTGGGATAGAAGCGTACGTTGGTAAATAAAAATAAAAACTGTTGTTGTTGGCCAAAATAAAACTCAGAAAAAAAATAGAGTTGATTCTGTCGACTATTTTAAATAGTTCTTTTTTCAATGAAAAAAAAAAATTTCATTTTTCTATGGTGTTGAAATTCAAGTGGAAATAAATATTTTGCCGATAAATAAATAGTTATAATCGTGCATTGAGAAAAAAATGTATAAAAATTTTAACATTAGAGTACGCGCGATTTTAGATAAATTTAAATTTAAAATTGCGTTTAAGCACGTATTCTGTTCAGTTAGGGATTTCAGTAATTTATTTTTTAGAGAATTTTTTCCTTTCCTGCTCTACTTCGATCTAGCACTAAAGTTTTTTTTAAAAAAATATCAACTAACTTATTAAGATTAACGTTTGTATACATGAAATAGTTATTAAATAATCATAAATCAAGTGGATGTCATTCGTTTCTCAATAATGATATTTTAATAATGATATTATTTGGAAGATGATTTCCGTTATATTTCTCAATTTAATGTTCAATTAAAACGGGCACAAAACGAAGCGAAACCGCGAGAGAAACTTAACGCAACTTGCTGTTCTTTCGTAATTAATTAATAACGTAATTATTATTTGAATGCTGATCCTTTGTACT